AGCCAGGTTTATCTGCCTCATCCACACGACTAGGAGACTCCAGTTTTCTGCATCTTGTATGGCTAGTATCTAGAGAAACACAGTTGCTAAATGAATGAAGGCAAACTTCAGATGGACTAGTAGCCTCTGTGGTTATCCAAGCACATTCATAATCAGAGACTCTGAACATGGTGGTTATAATTGTTAAAAGTGATGCTCCCATTGAATTTCTTCACCACACAGCTCTACAGAAAGAGACTCACAACTCTGAGGCTCCTACCCAGAAATGGTTACATTTCGAAGGTGTCTAGTTTTATCTAATGAAGTTGTTTTAAAATTTAAATTAGGCATCTCAGCTCTGGGAAAGCTGCAAAGCCCTTCTTCACATAGCCCAGCGCCTACATTTCAATCCAGTTGGGCTCTTTACTTGGTCCTGCCCTATGCCTGTGTTGGGTGTTGGGATAAAATGTGGATTCCATGCAGCCCAGGATTTGAGGAGCTTGGTGAACACTCACTCGCCCAGGGCAGCACTGATTCCTAGTGCCCTGCGCACCACCTTGCAAAGCCAGGGGCTTCCTAAAGCCTTGTTTATGAGTATTCTGGCAGTGAAGACTCAATTATCCAATTATTCATAATTCATGTAAATAACCCCCAAACTTGTTTTGAGCACCTGCAGTATGCCTTTTATATAGAGATGAATCAGAGATGTCCTCTCTGCCCTTGTGAAGCATTTCAGGGCTTGGCGAGAGAGAGAAATGTATCAACAGGCAATTATAATACAATGGAAAATGAGCTAATAGAAGTCTCCACAAAAAGCAGGTTTTCCGGACTGAAGGAAGAGAGGAGAATATTCCAGACGGACAGAACCACATGTATAAAATGTGAGAAGGGTGGGAGAGAGCATGAGAGGTTTGAAGAACCATTAGAGAGCAGCTGGGATATCACAATATGAGAGCAGATGGGTTATTTGGGGAGCCTGGAAGAAGGAATGGTGAGAAAGGAGATTGCAGAGGCAAACGAGGGGTTGCCTAAGGTGGAACAAAGAGAAAAAGGAGGCTGCAGCCAGACTAAAGTTTGGAACTCCTTACCTTAGACCCTAGGGAGCACCATATGACTCTGGAACAGCCAGAAAAGTGGGATCTGCAATTTTCCAGGAAAAGGATGGTTCTGGAAATCTGCAGATCAAATAGATAACTGTTGAATTAATGTAAGAAAGGGAGGATGAGGAAATGATCTGGGGCTGTGGCAGCAAGGATGGAGGGAAGTGAGTGATTCCAAGGTCATTGGTGATACGTGATTGTGTGTGAGAACATCCGTTAGCACAGAAAGCAAGTCAGGCACTCAGCTGCGTGCTGAATTGAAGCAGATGTGAAAGCACAGGAGGAAATATTAACAACGTTTTCATAAAATATTTATTTAAAAAATCAAAATCAATGTTAAAAATGTATTAACAAAATATCAAAATTTCAAATAGAGTTAGGATCAGTATTACTGATTTTTCCTTTGGCCTGTGGCTCTGCTATGGCTTGACTTGGTACTCTACTGATCCTAACTTTATTTAAACTTTTGATCTGTCATTCATCATGGGGTTTTTGCATTGATTTCATTTTGAAAAAAAAAATACTGCACTAAATTTTTGTTTATCTTGATTATGTTTTTTTGTTTGTTTTTGCACTCTCCTAAATTTTGCAAGTGCTTCAACCTACTCCTGGCCTTGGAACACAGTAGAGCAAGAGAGAGGGGGATTTATCAGGAATGACTGCAAGGGTAACATCAAGCAGGATGCATTGATGTACCAGCACGATGCCTTATGCCACTGAAGGACAACTCTGTCTATTCCTAAAAGTGACTTTGCTTGGATAGCGGGGTACTACCTTTCCTCTACCCACCAAAAGTTGTCACTTGATACTAGACATTTACACCAAATGAAGACATCATACAGACCCCCCACCTCCACCCCGACTTCCTTCCTCTGAGCCAACTGAGTTTGGGTCTCCCATGATGAAACTCACATGCAGCTTGTGTACAACTTCCCTAAATGCCACAAATGCTTCGGAATAAGCATGGAAATTGGTTTCTAAGCTCCAGCAGTTTCTAAAATAGGAGTGGTTTAAAATAAAGCAGTATAATAAAAGGGATTCCTATAGAGCACATTGTGGGAAATAGCAGTGAGCCTCTGAAACAGAAAACTTGGGGAAGGAGTCAGAAAGGGCATCGAGCCATTCCTGAGTGAGGGGGCATGGGAGGTAACCATGGTCTTCCAGGAAGGGCGGCCAGCTCTGTCTCCATTTTCTTCAGTCTGGGTGGGGGGGGGCGGGGGGGGGGAACTCATTTCTTTCCATCCCCTGAAGCTTCTTTTCACTTTATATCCTGACTTGATACAGATGTAATATATTCTGTAAGTGCAAAATTTGGGCTGAAAAATACTGTGGCCTTTGAAAATGGAGGAGGGAATTGAGTGGGGGTTTTCCAAATTAATGGCAGTGTGCAGATGAATACACTGGGCACAGTGGGGTAGAAGTAGGGAGGGTGCTAGGAAGCGTATTTCTAGACCGATGACTGCATATAAAGCAATGCTTGAGTGGAGAAAACAATAGAGTAGGTAGAAATGGACATTGATATAGAGAATTTGATACGGATGGATTATGGATGGAAATTTGAGTAGAGCACACCTGGTAACTTCAGTTTCCTTACAGGAGTGGGAGAGAAGGTTGTCTCGTAAGAACATGGGCTTGAGGTAAATATTTAGCAGAACACTGAAGGTTAAGAGAAGTAGAGATTGAATTAGCCAAAGATACCGAATGCACTTGGTAAAGTCCTAGAAGATCCCCTGAATGTGGAGGCAGTGAATGTGTGTGGCTTCCATCTCCACAGTCACGTGATTTGTGTCTCTGGCTGGGCTCAGCTTTCTGGGCAAAGGCTTGGAGAAGATGAGTCACAGGACTGACCCCAGTTTGGGAAGATGCAAGGCCTGCGAAGGTTGGGGGGTAGTGGATGGTGGAGAAGAAGGGGGAGAACTTCAGATGTGGTTAATATCAGGGGCAGTGTCTGATGTGGCCAGCAATTATAGACGTGAGCCATGCTGCTAAGCCTCAAGCTTCCAAGTATTATGCAACTTTTTCATAACACGAGAAAGAGCTGAGGGAGCTGTGTGGTTGCAGGGCCCTGTTGCAGGGAAGCACCCTAGGTCAGCATAGGCAACCACACAGCCAGTGCTTTCTAGCAACTAGGGCCCCTTTGGTCCTCTTGGCATACCCTTGCCATCACTATGAGCTCTGCATTGTTAGCAGTACAATCTCTGCTTTTGAAATGTATACGCACAGCCCCATATTGAGTTAAAAAGAAAAGGAAAGGAAAGAAAAAAAAGCCTATTTGCTTCTCTGGGACACATTTAGGAACAGGCCTGGTAAAGAAGACATTGTCGTTGTGGTACCGTAAGTTCCCACTAGTCGTCCTATTCATAATGACAATGCTCATATATGGGGAACAGTGATGAGGGCATCATCCTCAGGTTGATAATTAAGATAGATGCCACTAACATTTCTTAAACCATGCTGCATACAGCTGTCAGGGCAGGAGGGAATTTGAGAAGGCGGTATATAATTAACCTAGTTGGAATTGGGCCAAGGGACCCAAGGTTAATGGCCTGGGAATGGGAGCGTTAATGACCACTAATGGTCAAGCCCCTTTTCATGTCTTACTCATTAGAGCTACCTTTTATATTCTGTAAGATCATGGCCTTTGGCCTCAGGACCAAGGGTAATGGAGAGTTGCCACTCCCCCAGACGATGCGTTCTGCATTCTGACAGCTTCTGTCCCGCTCTTGATTCCCCCGCCCATCACAATCTTCAGGTATAGTGTATAGCAGATCCCCACACATACCAGCCATCTGCTGAGCCCTGCTGATGAGAGCTGAGACATATACATCATGCATATTCATGGACAAAAATTGTTTCAGGTTTTTATTCAACAGATTGACAAAAGCTTGACATCCTTTTGCTTTTACCTGTTTGGCCCTGGTGTTCCTTTCTCCAGACACTCCCTGGGTGAGCTGGAATAGAATCTTTAACCACTCTGGGATGTGTCCTCCCTCCATCATATTTGGTGGCCACAAGAATCATTAACGTGAGTCTTCACAGGCTTGCACGCTGCCTTGATTGACAAAGAAACTGCTATTTTTGTCCACTCTGTTTGTCCTTTCCCCGTACCTCCAAAAGAGATTTAACCTCCAAAGAGATTTCTACCTCATAAGCTAATCTCCTGTGATAAGCTTTTATGATGCAAATTTGGGACAGTGGATAGACAGAGACAGAACTAGAGTAAAGGAGATGAGGGTACAGACTCATGGGAGAAAAGAAAAGGCAGAAACAGAGCAAAGGAGATGAGAAAGTAAAATTTACTCTGGGTGTGATTTGTGGGGGGAGTCAAGCATGGGTCCTGGGAAAAAGGAAGCTTCAGGCAGCTCTGTTATAGGTGAGAGAAAAAGCACAAGCAGAGGAAAGTTAATTGTAAGAAGTCTAGCTGATGGTTATCAAGCAGATCTCTTTTAATCTTCTTAGAGGGCTAGAAGTAAACACTGGTATTAGTTTTAATTGCATCAGGTTGTTGAAGCATTTTCCTTTGCATGGGAAACCCCAGCACTGGGTCATGTGGGGTTCTGGGATGACCTGAGTTTCCACGTTTAACTAGAAGGCTAAAGTCAAAGCTTCGAAAGAAGCTCAAACAGGGATGGTGGCTTTGCCTCCTCCTTGACCTTAGTATTAGAAATACATTCTGTGGTTCCGACTTACCTAATGAATTTTAAAAACCAGAGTGTGTTGAATATTGCTAGAGACCAAGAAGTGCCCCTGCTCTCTGTGGTGAGAAGGCTCTCGGGTTACACATTCGTTTCAATCCTCACATCAAGTCTCAAGAATGGGCATTACAAACCCATTTGTAAACGTGTAAACGGAGGCCTACTGCCTTAGAGTGACTTACTCACTTGTGATCATGAAGTTAATAAGAAGCAGCTCCACTCAGAGTAGGAGTCTGACTTTTTATAATAAAAGGGAAGGTGAAGAAAGAACTAGAGATACTGAAAGTGGAAATTAAGTTCTTTAGGAGAGGCGGGAATTCAATGAAAGCTACAGGGCTCTTCTCCAGCTTCCCTTGCCAGGCTCATCTGGAGGTTTCTCTAACACTCAGTGACTTTGAGTTCTTTGTTGGGAGAGCGAGAAAACCGGCAGCGAAGCAGAGCCGCTGCCCCTCCGCTGCATTTCACCCTGCACGAAAGCCTCAGCTGGCTGCTGGCCTCCGCCCCTGCCTAGGCTCTTTCTTCGCACCCAACAAAGGGCACTGGGGGAAGCAGAGCCTGTCTTCTGCCCTTGGCAATTAAGGTCCAGGTAGAGGCAGGACAAGGAAGACCCGCCTGGTGCTGCCGGCGTTGGCATTTCCTCCACGAACCTGCAAGACAATTCATTCCATTAAATCATCCATAATCAGATGCAGTGACTCTCATTTTTTTGTGTGTGAACATCTCACTGGCTGAACACAAACTTCTCAATAGCCACAGAGCCCTAATTTTCTTTTTCGGAGACAACAAAACCGAAGGTAATGAGCGGGCGGAGGGACTGAGTCCCAGGGGGCACACTCTTTGGAGGAGTCTCCTGGGCTTCAATACATCTAAAGTAGATCCAAAAGAAAGCAGTGATTACAGTCTAATTTTCTGCCTGTATTATGTTAAGTGTCCTGTCTCTACACAAATGGCAATTGCTTTATGCCAGAAATCTTTTACTGAATTCCTCTTATTGGTAAATTTTGTATTAAAAAAAGAGAAACAGACTAAAGAAAGGTTTTTCAATTTAAAGGTGAGACTCTGAGGATGTCAGTAAAAGATACAAGACTGGCACATCCCCAGGAGTTGATTTTCCTTTTCAAATGCAAGTATTGGAGAAGGCAAAATGGTCCTGTCCTTTGAATTTGCCAGTTAAGGGGCAGAGGCTCCCAGTTTTAGCTGGAGGGGGACACAGTTCTGCCTCGGGCAGCCCACTGGGTTCTTTGTTAAGACTACTGAGGGGGCTGAGACAGGAGGCAGAGGTGAAGAGAGGCTGATGCATTTGGCCCTTCCTGAGTCATCAGATGGCCATCCACAGGAGAGTAGACAGACACCTGAGACCCTCTTCCTCCTGCGTGGACACTGCCCCTTTCCCAGGAGCAATGCGAGTCAGCCCAGCCACATCATTGACTCCCTCTTCCTCTTCCACTCTGGGTCTGAAGTCCTAAAGACATTTTTTTGCATGCTCTTCCTTCATCCACTCCTCATTCGTGCTATGAATACCCCCCAAGCATCTTCCATGTCGCAGACAGTGGGCCACACCCTGAGAATTCAAAATATCATTATAAAAAGGAAGTGGGAATTATGATAGTCAAACAGAAATGGAACAGAAGCATTGAAGTCAGAGATCTTAATGGAAAATTCCACCAAACCCCTCCTTGCCTTGAATAAATATCTGAAGATCTTATTCTTGAAAAATGGAGTGGGAGGAGGGGACTGCTGATTCCTGCCTCAGAGAGTTGTAGAAAGGATTAAATAATATCTTTAAAGCAATTAGCATAGAGCCGGTTATCAATGCCCAATAACCATGTGTTGATTCCGCCCCTATTTGAAATTCTCAGTTGGTACCAGAGCCCTTCCCCCATCCCAGAGATGCCTCTGATCCACAACCACTAGGGCATCATGGCCTCCAGGCCAAGAGGCAAGCACCTTCCCCAAGTAAAATGCAAATCTGTGGTCCTCTTGACAGGAGGCTGGGAGGAAGGATGAAGGATGAAGGCTGTGACATGACCACCTGGTGGGGCAGGAGGGATCTGGGATCAGTTCCAAGCGAAGGCAACAGGGATGCGAGAGAGGCCCTTGTGTGCCAGCTACCACATCAGGCATTTTGTATAGATTATTTTGCAAGTGTGTGTAGGGGGGTGGGACTCCCCATCCAATCTAATCTCAACAGCTCTGGGTGAATGTTCGTGGTGATGTCAAAAGACAAATACTAAAGTGAAATGTCCCAGAGCCCCTGAAGAGAGCCAAGCCTTGGTCTTTGGGCACCAAGGCAGGTCTATTTCTGAGGATGTGTGGCAGGACCAGTCATTCCAAAAAGAAATGAAGATTCATGTTGCAGCCGAGAATAAGTGGTAAATTAGCAATAAGCCAACTTTTCATCCAATATTCCCTGCAGACAGGGTATTGATACCAGGAAAGATCAGATTATTCTCCAACCATCCTGAATGAGAAACTGGGACTTAATTTAAACTTGTCTGTATGTGTCACATGCCACTGCTGAAATGGGTATTGTAATTTTCTTGACTGGTTACCTGCAGTGTTGAGTGCAGCCTCAAGGGCATGACTGAGGAAGAGGAGGAGGATATTGGTCCTCATTTCTCAGAGATCCTAGGCAGGGATTGCAGTCCACACTTCACCTATGATGAGCTATGTGACCTTGGGCAAATTATTTCTTTGAGCATGCTATAGCCTCTATAAAATGGGGATTGTGACATCTGACAGAGTTGTCGTGAGGTTCAATTTAGATAACACAATTTAAATACCATCAAAGGAACCACCATTTACTGGACACTCAGTTGATATTAGTTCCCTGACACAGAATACAGAATGAAGGACACTTGGCAAGGGTTTAGTGTTTGATGATGATAATGATAATAACAGCATTACTGTGGGTGTTCAGAAAAGAAGACAAACACGGGACTCTGTTGCCTCCAGAATTTGGCAGGGAGTTGAATGCTAGAAGTGGAAATGGGGGTGGTTGTAGCTTTGCTGATTCATGGTACCAAAAAGGCACTGAAGTCCCAGTTCCAGGCAGCAGAGTCGTCTGTGGCATGCAAGACACCACGCTGTACGAGGATATAGCTTCATTGTACTGCTTGGTCGCTCAGCTCAGTCTTCTCCATCTCAGGTTCCCAGGTCCAGCTGCCAATTCATCTCCTTTCCCCGCAGTGAGGATGCTCTCTGATGGGAGCATCTCTCAGCTCCCTGACCCGCAGCCACCCAGCATCGCCTCTTACGAACCCTCTGGAGCCTGGCAGAAATTGATTCCCAGAGTGAGTTTTTCTGGTCAGGAATAAGCAGGGATGTGAAATAACTGAACTCCCTACAATTCCACCTTTGGGATCCACTGGAATTTAGAGCAAGTTTCCTAAAACTCTGGGTTCCGTCATGGTCAAGTTAAACAACTCCCATCACCCCGGCAGCCTGTTACTTTCTTCCTTTCCTTCTTTCCCTTTCCAACCACATTCTTCTCCAGCTTCCCTTTCTCCTTTATCTGCTCCTTTCTCTCTCACTTAGTCTTGCTCAAAATTGCTCTCCAAGATTCTTTTTCCTGCCGTCCCTCTGAGGAAGCAGATGAATAGCGGGATGCCAGCCCTGGATGGGCCATAAATAATGCATAATGCCCAGAAACAGCCGGAGCAGCCCTCTGATTACAAAGAGAAGATCCTTTGATAACATATTATCCTATTTACTTTTTGTAATGCCACCAGCATTACAGCAGCGATGTGCACCTACTTGCTCACCAATTTGAAACCCCAGCAAAAAAAGTGTTCCTGCTGCTGTCTGATCCTGGCTCCACCACCAGGAGGGCCTGTCAGACACCCTCTTCTGATGCCTCTGCTGCCATCCCTGGGCCCCTGGAAGCCTGTCAGAAAGGTGGTCAGTCTTTTCTCAGTTCAAAGCATATGTTTCTTTATTTTAAACTCTTGTTATAGCCTTCATATTTTGATTCTTGCTGAACTCTGGAGAAGATAAAGGCCTCTAACTCAGCCCCCTGATGTATATAAATATAGCACCTAATAAGTTCCATATTTGAGACCCAGGGCTTAGTGAATACTAGGTGCCCCAAACATAACCCTGTAAAGTAGGCTATTATTATTTCCAGTTTCAATGAAGGAAATTATGACTCAGATAAGCTAATTGATTGGTTCAAGGTTACCAAGCTAGTAAATTATAAACCCCAAATTGAAATCCAGTCGCCATGACTTCCTCTTCCATTATCATTTTCTTTCTATGTATTAAGATTTGGAATTTGGAGACAAGAATAGGTGAGTATATTAGCCAGGGTAACAATAGAAAACAGAATTTTATTTTATTCAAGTGAAGATATGGTATTGAGGAGACAATTTACAAAGGTTACAGGTGGGATAAAGAACACCTAAAAGGAATGTGGAGACACTCAGTGGTTTGTAAACAAGAAAGCTCTTGCCACCTCTAGGCTTAAAGAAGAAGGGGGAAGGGATAATGTTTTGGAGCTGAGGGGAAGGCTGGAGCCATGGAGGAAGGTCCGTCTGCCGGATCTCTGGCCTGGAAGGCTCAAACACTGACAGGTGCAGCTCTGGAGAAGGGACAGAATGGAGAAGAGGACCATTTTCTTTGTCCAGGCATTTGCCAGGTTCAACTCGAACCAGCCAGCAAGGGAGAAGGTGATAGAGTTGGTGGGGTCTACATTCCCTGGCGTGGAGCAGAGCAGGAAGTGGGGAAGGGTCTGGAGAGCAGTCAGCACCAGTGCCTGGTCCTTCTTCACAGGGCTGCAGGCAAAAGAGCCACTGCCTTCCTACCCAGACTCCATACCTACAGGGGGGGAATCACCGTGAAGCCAAGAAAGCCCAAGCTTCAGGGGCTTTTCCCGTTATGTATTGCTTCATAACACTCCACCCCAAAACTTGGGGGATTCAAACAAGAACGACTTACGATTTCGTCTATGTCTGTAGGTTGGTCGGGTGGTCCTTCTGCTTTTCCGTGATGTCAGCTGGAGTCACTCGCACAGCTGCATTCAGCCTGGAGCTCAGCTGGGTCTGAAACATACAAGCCAGCCCCACTCACATGTCTAGGCTTTTCAGTTCTCTGGCACAGAAGCCTGATCTCTGCACATGATCTTGTGTCATTTTATTTCCTAGCCTGAACTTTTTTTTATGGTGGCTGGCTTCCAGAAGGGCAAAACCTGTCAGGCCTCAAAAGACCCACATCACGACCTGACACAGCATTGCCTCTGCCTCATTCTATTGGCCAGAGAAACTTGCAGGCCAGCCCAGATTCTAGAAAAAGGGATATAGATTCCACTTCATGATGGCAAGTACAGCATGTGCATACAGGGTGGGAGGAATTCTTGGAGGCCTCTCTTCAGCCAGTCCAGCAGTCTGCCTTCTCACTATAGCACTTCATGCCCTTCTTATGTAGAAAATATATTCCCCCTCTTTTCAAGGGATCCAGAATTTTCATCCCATTATGACATCAGAACAAAGTCCAGTAATCTGTATTGGGCTGAGATGTGACTGTGGCACTTCTTGGGCTAAAGAACTGTGAGCTGAAAATACAAGGTAAATCCCACTATATCCCGCATATAATGGTGATATAATGCTAATACGAGCACAGGATACTTGCAATAAACACTGGCATTTAAAAAGGCAAAGAGCAGGAAACACATCACAGTTACTGGCCCATAACAATTCTAAAATCCAGGAAGGCATTCATTCACTGTGCATGAAGCTTTCCTGGGAGCAAAGAATTTTCTGTGATTAGCATCAAGCTCTGCCTCTGTGAGGGTTCTTGATTCGAGCCAGAGAGCCAGCAGGTGAGCCTTCCTCCATGGCTCCAGCTCTCCCCTTGGTTCCAAACATTATCTCTTCCCCCTTTTTCTTTAACTGTTATTTTCACATTTTGGTTGATTCCACCTTCTGGCCTCTTTGCTATGCCCTCAGATTCATTCTTCCTTTTTCATAAGAAATGGCCCATGTTTGCAGCTGAATAACTTTCTCAGCTTGCTTTTTTCCCTGTAGAAAGCTTGGGACTCAAATGCCTCTTTTCACTTTGAACTTCCTTATCCCTTTATTCAACCTGGCAGTTCTCTCATCAGGACAATTCTCTTTAAAATATTGTGTGTCATTCATTGACCTCACTGAGGCGCGCTCTGTGCTCCATGCCCTAGCATAATTCTTTCAGCAACTAACCTCTCGCTACTTTGCGTGTGTAAAGCAACATCATTATGATTTCCAGGAGTTCTTTTGTCTGACTTGGAAGGTCTAGGAAACATTGCCTTGAATCTTCTAGAATTCTGAAGAAGGTGTCCTTCAGCCATAGCCTTGATCTGATCTTTACCCAAAGGCCCATATTTTGTGAATCCTTGCCACCTGGAAAACTGTGCTGGAGGCCCTTATATTTTCTATAATTTTTCTTGAAAACTGGTCCGTTCTTTGGCTCCTCTCTCCTTGCAATGCCTCAACATACACTACTAAAACAAGCCACCTGGCCTTAGCCAAGTTCACAGTGTATCCACTCACCTCTCCATTGTCCGAGCCTCTCCTCTTCACTCTCTGTCTTAGTCTTTTTCTGTTGCTATAAAGGAATATCTGAGCCTGGGTAATTTACAAAGAAAAAAGGCTTGTTTGGCTCATGGTTCTGCAGGATATTCAAGAAGCATGGCCCCAGCATCTGCTTCTGCTGAGAGCATCAGACTGCTTCCACTCATGGTAGAAGATGAAAGGGAGCTGGCGTATGCAGAGGTTGCATGGCGAGAGAGGAAGCAAGGGTGGGGGGAGGTGCCAGTCTCTTTCTAACAACAAGTTCTCACAGAAACTAATAATGAGGATTCACTCACTACCAGGAGAATGACACCAAGTCATTCATGAGGGATCCAGCCCTGTGAACCAAACACCTACCAGGCCCCACCTCTAACCCTGGAAATCAAATGTCAACATGAGGCATGGTGGGGCCAAACAAAGCATATCTAGACCATAGCTCCCCCCAACCTGCTACATGATCTGAAAGCCAATACCGCAAGACTTAGACTTTTGTCATGACAGCATCACACATCTAATACGATGTCATTGTCTGTTGTTTTCATTATCTACGGCTGGGCAAAAAGTCTTCCAAAAATGTAGTGGCTTAAAACAACAAGTATTTACTTGCTCATGATTTTGCCATTCGTGTAAGGCTCAGCAGGGTTGACCCAATGCCGCTCCACTTGGTGACCGCAGGAGTCATTTCCATGACTGAGTTCAGCTGGGTGCTCCTCTGAAGTTGAAACATCTAGGAAGGCCTTGTCTGCTTATGTTTTGGGATGGTGTAGTACAAAAAGAGCTAAGAGAAACAGGGCCTGTCACTTGTACTGTCTGCTTACAAGATTGTGGAAGAGACACTAAGAAGATAGTCACCTGGTCATGTTTTGTAAACTGTACTAAAGTGAGACATTTTAACTGCAATCAATCAGGACTTCCATTGCTTTTAACCTGATATAACATTCATCATATTGCAGGTAGCATTGCAATGGCAAAGAGCATTTTTGGTATTCACCTAAGAGAAATTTGAGTTGGGATGCCTTGAGTTTGCATTTCATCAAATGTACTTTATGTACCACACATCATGTCTATGCCTATTACATTCTTGCTAGCTGTTCTGATGTAGGGATGGCTTTCAGAAATGTGTCTACTGCCTGCAATGCAGACACAAGTGTCCCCCAGAAGTCACATGGTGCAATATGAACATGTCTCATGTGGCCCAGTATTGGGGATATGTGAAGAGTGGAGGAAATTTGAAACTAGTCTGTGGAAAATTCTACCAAGTATCATAGACTTTGAAAGAAACTCAATGTTTTTCCAGACCAAAATCCTAAGAATTTCTATAACATTACCAATCATGATTAGGGAAGCTGAAAGAAACCGTCTTGAGTTATCATTTTTAAAAAATCAGTCAACTATGCTAGAGTATATACTGAATTATCTTTCTGTTCTTTCTATAGGAAATGGTAACATAAAATTCTTTGCATTTGAAGATGTAATAAAAAGTATATAGCTGAGAATATAGGAAAATATTACAAAAGTGCATTGGGGAGATATTTAATAACAGTATTATTTTCTTGGAGTTTTTGATATTTGTGGGTATATTTTAGCTTTTAAAAAAATTATTACTTGTGATTTCTCATTCTAATTAAATACATCCATACCTAATTTTATATTTGTAATTGCATATTCTTTTCTTAAAGAGCACCTCAAAATGGTATAATATTCAAACCCCACTGAATCTGGGCCATGTTCATATCTAGACCAGAGGCTTCACTCTCAAAGGCAATGTGAAGATATGAACTAATAAAGTACTGGAGTTGGTACTATCTCCCAGCCTGAAGAAGTCATGTTCCGTGTAAAATGACTTATCTGTGTTGCATTTCTGGGGACAATAGGGAATCAGAGGATACCAGAGCGAGATAAGACAAGAGGAGGAATGAGAACAGCTAAGACAAATGTCACCTTATTCAGTGGCTTCAGAGACAGACATGGGAATGGTAACTTTAGGCCACAGGACACCCTCAGATCTGGTGAAGATCTGGGGACACAGGAAGAGCAATGCTGCTTATAATAATGCTGACAATAATAACAACTCATTTACCTAATTATTTTGTATTCAGCACTAGCTTGAGCACTTTATATGTATTAATATATATGATCTGCCTAAGAACTCTACAAGACGGTTTTGATTGCCATATCCATTTTGGAAATGGAAGGAAAGCATGGAGATATGCAAGAATTTGCCCTAGGTCACTCTGCCTGCACCTGCTGGAACTGGGGTTCCATGAGTCCATCTGCTCCAGAGGCTGCTGGCTTAACAACTCACACCTTTGCATTTGTATAGCACTGTGCAGTTTATCAAGCAATTTTACATACAGCATCTCACTTACAATCTTAATAGCCCTGAAAAGTTGGAAGGGCAGTTGCTGTTGCTCTCATTTTATGGGTGATTAATTGAAATCTAAAATTGCAAAGGGAGTTATTCATGATCACCCAGCTATCGGTGGTGGTATTGGAGCCGAAAGCCAATCTTGGGTGCGTTTCATTTTCTCACATTGTGTATTAATAAATTTCAGCTATAGTTATCTTCAGTTTCTAAGACATCTTTGTGTATAATGCTAACACGGTACCTTCCACAACTTTATAAAAAGGCATTGTTATTATCCCAATGTTACCGAGGAAGAATACATAGTTTAGAGAAACAATCCTTAGTGGTACGACTTCAAATTCACAAGCCACACTCTGTCCTGCACCAGCAGCCACAGCCCCGGTCTACCCGCTAAATCCCGAACACAGCTTGGCCCTTCTGAGGCTAGGGGAACAGAATATGGATTCAACACCTCAGGACTTCAAAGTGTGCACGGTGGGTTCAGGGGACATTAAATAGATCCCTGTGTCTGGAGCATGAATATCAAGTTGAAAAAAATGGGACCAGATGTGGAGGCTTTGAGTATCATGATGAGAACGTTAATTTGCAGGGAGCGAGCACTGAGTATGCACAGATCTGTACTAGATTCTGTGAACAAACTGAAGAAATAAAAGTGTGGTCTTAAGCTGCAAACTGTTTGACCTCTTGTCTAGGAGTAACAAACCCGTATGAGAGAAGCAGGAAAAAAAGGCAACTTAGGGCCAGGTGCGGTGGCTCATGCCTGTAGTCCCAGCACTTTGAGAAACTGAGGAGGGCAGATCGCTTGAGCCCAGAGGCTCAAGACTAGCCTGGGCAACATGATGAAACCTTGTCACTACCAAAAAAAGAAAAAAAATACAAAAATTAGCTGGGCTTGGTGGCACATGTCTGTAGTCCCTAGGTTAGGGCTGGGGTGGGGGTGCTCAAGCGGGAGGATCACCCGAGTCCAGGGAGGCTGACGCTGCCGTGAGCCGTGATCATGCCACTGCACTCCAGCCTGGGTGGCAGAGTGAGACATTTTCTCAAATAAATAAAGCAACTTAGAAGTATTTTTGAAAAAACAGATAAATGACTTAAAAGACAATTATTATAATGTCCACTGTGTTTTAAGATCATAGAACCATACATTAAAAGGAATAATTATAACCATAATACTTAAAATGGCCCCGAGACCCATAGAAAAAAAGAGCCCTGCTTTCTCTGTGTGTTCCATTTTAAGGTGACAGAGCAGGTGATCTAGGTTGTAGCTTCTCTTGTGGTCATTCATAAATTTTAACCCACAGCTCTTTGGATTAATTTTTCTTCAGCTCCTGAATGTACAACAACCACAACAACAGTGCTGATAGCTGCCATTGGTTCATGGCTTACTGTATTGGGTAACTCACATGGATTACATCTGATCTGAAGCTACTCTGCAAGTTAGATATCAGCACCCCCATTTCACAGATGGGGCAGTGAAGCCCAGAGATGTTAAGTGACTTTTCCAAGTGATAAATCACAGTTAAGCACAGGT